GTTCATTTTGCACCCTGTAAACATATAGCTACAACTTTTTTTCCATTCATAAACATAGGAAGCAAAGAAAAGCAGGAAATCCTCACATTTGACAAACTAAACACAGGAATGATTTGCCATTTTTTCTACTTAAAAGTAAACTTAAGATTGATCGGTCATCAAAATGATTGCCTGTCCATTGACCTATAGTTCCAGCAGTATACAGAGTAGTAACATTATGGGCTGCAGGGTTTCTGGAGGTCTCCAACCTTTCTGAACCTGTTGCTGGACATGATCCCTGCGATGCCTTTGGCTGCATCGTTCTTCTCGGCCACGCAGAGGACCCGACTGATCTGAGGTCTGTTGCGGGTCATGTCCTCCTGCTGCGGTGCGTCCGGACCCTGGCCACTCTGCGCCGCACCGAAACACCTCCGTCCGACCCGCTTCAGCCGCTGAAGTCCCGATCTAAGCGCAGACTTGCCCCCCAGGAGGTGCAGTATCATACCTGTCCGCCCTCACATGAAGCAGCGGGTCATCCGGTCAGCTGACTTACAGCTATGACAGCCGCTCCTCAAAACGTTCACTTCTTCTCCGGTTAATGAAACAGAGAGCAACTAAAACAAATGCTGGACCTTAAACAATCTCTCATTAAAAGCTGTACTGAGGAGAAACGCTGACCTGTCACAAACGGAGGCTGTTAGCTCTGTTTACAAATTGCCCGCCCGCCTGTCGGACGCTGCCGTAATCAGGGTCGTAAAACTGTCGTAAAGTCCGGGAACCAGCAAAACGTCCAAATAAAAGTTTATATAAGTGAAATAGTAATGACTGTTTTCAGATGGACTGATTGTCTACACACGCAGCATTTGTATAATTATTAATAGTTTTTAATAACAACTATAATGTAAATGTGTTCTGTTTGATTTAATCAACGTTAAACAGAAAATCCACCCTAAATCACAATTTGTATTTCGACATTTCAACATCTACAAATAATAATTATAAAACTATTAGTTTGTTGATGTGTCTGCTATGTTTTTTTCTTGGAATCTGGGGTTTTAGTAACTCTACAGTTAAAAACATTTAGTTTGTATTTTAGACCTATTGTTTTAAAACTATATTTTAATGTATACATTTTTGTACAAATAGATTATTCAGTAGGCCTATTACTCACCAATATTTTATTCCTGAAAGTACGGAGAGAGCTCTAAAAAGGCTCTTTCTATCATTATCACGTTTTATTTTACAGGTCCATGACTTCTTAATAATTTTGTTGGAAGAGGATATATGTAAGAAGAGGTAAGTAAAATAGAGTCAATGTTCTGAGTCTTTTTGAAAGAGATCTTTGCATTTATAAACTGTTTATAAACGGATTAACACAATTTAAGGACACATGTTATGTTCCATTTAATTATAATTTGCAGAAAACAGCTACTCAAATAAACGTGAAAAATCCAGAAACAAACAATGTTTTGATGTTTTGGAGACTGATTCATGATCTCAGTCTGACCTCAGTATCACCTCAAAATCCTGGCTACGGTCCTGCTACAAACACAGACAAATGTCCTCTTAAATTTAGTGACTTTAAAGTCTCACCCACTGTTTTATGAACACATCATCCCAGAAGAAATACATTGCATTTGTGTTTCAGGGTGGAATTTCTCCAGATGGGAGGTGGACTGGTCACCTGACCAGACTACAACCAGCTGGGTAAACATGGCGTCTGTCTCTGGATGTGAAAATTACATGTAGCGCTTCTGTCTGTTAAACGGTGCTTGTGTCGCACCGACGTCCCGCGTCTGAGCCCCGAACAGAGCAACGTGATGGACCCGACGCACGAAGACAGGAAGAGAAGAAGGAGAGAAGCGCTTCACTGATGCTGCTTTGTATTTTTCCTCTATGCACAGCATGAATGGTCTGATGTCTGCCCGGACCCTGTGATTGGCGCAACATAATTGCTTTTGTTAACAGACGCACTGATTTGTAATCCTGTCGAGGTGTCCACTTTTATTTAATGTGACAAACATCAAGGCTCTCGTTCTGTGGACTGGCTCCTGTAGTGTCCTGTTTTTTGGGCCCACTCTGCTCTGGGACCCCCTTTATAGATTATATAATCAGGTTCATTTTTTCTTCATCTCCTTGGCCCCACGGCTCCTTTAACCCCACTAACAGATGGACAGCCCGGACAGTGTGAGAGCAGCATGGTCAGTCTGACTGCACTTTATGTGGACAGCTGCTCTATGACTGATAACTGTGCTGCACTGTGTGCTGTGTTTCTCATGCCTTGCTCAACAACACCACTATGATAGGCTCACCTGACCTGGTGGCTTTCACTAAAGAGGATGACTATGGGGAGACAAGTCCCGACCCCTGGGCTCTCCCCGAGGAGTTCTCTGTTCCCCTCCATCCGCTGGCTGACTCCAACCCCTGGGCTAAAACCTCCTATGCCAAGTTCACCAAAGACTTCATCCTCATTTCTGAGTTCTCTGAGCAGGTGGGCCCTCAGCCTCTCCTCACCATCCCTGATGACCCCAAAATCTGCGGCACCTTCGATCTCAACTACTTCTCCCTGCGCATCATGTCAGTGGACTACCAGGCCTCCTTCGTGGGGCATCCGCCTGGCACTGGCTACCCAAGGCTCAGCTTTGTGGAGGACTCCAGGGTGGTGCTGGGCGACTCAAAGGAGGGGGCGTTCGCCTATGTCCATCACCTTACGCTTTACGACCTGGAGGCGAGGGGCTTTGTGCGACCGTTCTGTATGGCCTACGTTTCAGCAGATGAGAGGAAAATCATGCTGCAGTTTCAGGAGCTGTCCCTCCGCTTCTCCCAGGCTTCTGAGTGTCTGAAGGCGGGGAACCGGAGAGCATTTGCCAAGGAACTCCAGAGGAAGCTGCGGGACCTGGAGTAAGAATTTTTTCTGTACTAACTTTAAACTGCTATCCCACAAGTTTAGAAGGAGTTTATCAATTATGTAAATAGTTAATAGAGTAACCTGTAATAAAAAATGGTAACACAGCATGGCCGGATTAGTCAGTTAGAGGCAAAAATGTGCTTTTGGCCCTTTATAGACCCCTCATTCTTACCCTACCTCACACCTACTGCCCTCTGTTTATCTTCCATATATCTAGTTACCCATTAAGTAGATGCACACAGAAGATTATACATGGCAGCTTGAGACACTCAATAGACCAACCCATCACATTATACCACCATGTTTGTGTGTGTCAGTTATTATGTAGTAATTAAACACTGAGAGTATGCACCATGTTAGCACATTATAAACTACAATAATAAAGCTTTTAAAATTAGACTACCAGACAGACAAATCCAACTTACGTGCAACTTAACTTAAAACCTTTGCGGCAATCATGGAAGTATCTCACTGTTCAGCTTTTAATCCACATATGAGTAACAGCACTTATTTAATATGTGCAGATTTTGGGTTAATGATCAGGTTTTTTTCATCTTCAAATCACAAACGTGTAAGAGATTGAAACTGACGAGAGATTAGTTTGACTAGGAGTTTATTGAAGTAGGATAATTTGCCTAGTAACATACAGTTCTACAAGACCAAGAGTCTACAGCCTTGCTAACATTAGCTGATTAGCACAAAGTACAGCTGAGGCTGATGGGAATGTTACGAGTTTTGCAGGTATATGGTCAAAAAGTATTGAAAGCACTGACATTTTAACAATGATGGCGCTAAATTAAAAGTCAGGGAATCAACAAAGATGTCAGAATTAAGACATTTTACTCACAACCAGAATTGTAAACATTTTATTAGGATACATTCTCTGGGGGACAATGTATATATGAACTGAACTTCATAGTAATTTTAATTGTTATCAATATATTTCTCTCCAACCCTAGTGCTGCTAGCATGGCTAACAACCATACTGGCTAATGTACCCCAACCCTAATCTTACAGCTATGTAGCCTGCTGCAGGTTTTCAGTGTTTCTTGTGTAATGTTGAATGCTCATGAACACGTGAACCAGTAGTTCTGCTTTCTTCCCCTCAGGTACACCCACTCTGTGCTCCAGAGGGAGGAGGGCCTGCAGAGAGAGGCGGGGCCTCAGTGCATGTACTCCGCTCATGCTGTGGAGAAGGCCAACGAGCTCGCAAACGTGGAAAAGAGCATCTATGAACACAGAGACCTGCTGAGACAGATCAGCTCCTACCATCACCGTCCGCGCCGAGATCCTCATGCTGTCACCTGCCAGAAGTGTATCACCGAGTGCTTGAGTGAGTGCGAGGTGCTCTTAGACAAATACGCCAAGCTTGCCAACCCCTTCAGTTACAGTGACAAGGGGAAGAAGGAGGATGAAGGGCAGAGTCGGATAAATGAGGAAGGAGGCGAAGAAGAAGTGGACGAGGACGAAGACGAGGGCGTTAAACGCAGGCCGTCCTACACGCCACAGCTGATCAAAGCTAAGTCTGCAAAGTGTTTCGACAAGCGCCTGAAGACCCTGCGAGAGCTGTGTGACAATACTTTCTACGAGGCCACGGTGGAGCTCTTGAAGGACACTGAGAAGAGTTTCCGGGGGGACCTGTGCTACCTGTACACACGCCGCCTGGACAGGACACTACGTAGGAAACAGAGAGTTACCAACTTCCTGTTTGAGGAGGACCTCGGTGATGAAGATGAGGATGAAAGGGGAACATTAAGACCATTCTGTGCTGTGAACCATGCTGTAGATAACTACACACTCTTAAATCCGCCTCCTATTGTACTAGGACCAGAACCTCTAGAGCTAGATGCTCTGGAGCCTCCACACCCTCTAGACCCAGCCTCTGAGATCAGCCGTCCTCAAGAGTTGTGCGAGCTTGGGCTTGTGGGGAGCCATCTGGAGTCCTCCCCCTCAGACCAGACTCTGGAGACCCAGGAGAGCTCGGAGGAGACCAAAGGAAGCTTCAGCAGCGATAAGAGCGGGACGGGTCAAGCAGACAGGCAACATAATCTGGCTAGTATAACGTCAGAAGGTCCTGATTCTGACCTGACCCCAGACCCTGACCCCAACACTGACCTGGAGAGGGAGAGCAGCAGTGAAGAGATGGAGACCACAGCTGGGGAAGATGACGGCGACGGGGGAGACCAAACACCTGTGTCTTTGCTGGAAGTGATGTCTGAGCTGGAGGCCAGCAGGGAGGATGAGTGCGACGGAGATACTGATGGGGCTTGCGAGATACAGTCTGACCTGTTGGTTCCAATAGACACAGCGTGCTGTATGGCCCAAGAGGGTTTCCTTTATGAGGCTTCTGCCCCAGAGACGGTGCCTCATCTTGGCCAAAGCTCCCACCTGCAGCCTTGTCAAACCCTGGTGGTCAACCAGGAGCCCCAGGCACAACTTCCACTCCAGGACGACTACACGGTGGGTTCTCCATCCTCAGAAAGCCCCGCAGCTGGGCTAGAACTGCCTGTGGGACTCCTTGGAGATGCAGTTTCCCGTACCTCAGCGGAGGATGGATCAGATTGTACCATGAGTGCTTCAACAGGGTCTGATCGGGCTGCCTCACCTCTTGGCTATGGGGGTGTGGTGACCCTGCGTCAGAGGAAGAAGCATGGACAAGGAGCCTTGAAGTTTGTGCGACAGTATCCGTTTGCCATGCAAGCTCTGTGGTGTCTGCTGAGCGGGAGAACCCTGGTGGTGCTCGGGGCCGACGAGGGGAGAGTCCGCCGACTGGTTGCTGCTCTGGCCCTCTTTGTGCCTGCTCCTGGGAAGTGTGGAGAGAGGGTTCAAGCCT